CGCCTTGCAAACATTGCATCTGGCTGTTACACTGCCTTCGCTTTCAATTTTATAATACTTCCAAACTCCTGACATTTTCTCTGTCCCGAGTCACCAGCTGAACGTAGCCTCTCGTTAGCTTACTGCTACTATTAGACACTGCGCCCACTCTGTTGCCAGATTTGAGAGAAATAAGCAACCAGGTCTATGAAAACAAGCCCAAAAGAAGCAACACATACATGATGTTGTGTAATTTTAAACCAAAACTAAGGCCTCAGGATGACTTTAAGACGTGAACATGGTCATTTTTGTTTTGTAACATTAAATAAAATAAGAAAAATATTTTATAAAAAAAAAAAAAGATTCCGATCCCCGATTTTTTTCTCCCGATTCCGATCTTTTGAAAATCACGTGATCGGCTCCGATCCCCGATCACGTGATCGGATCGGGACATCTCTACTAATAATGATTGTTTTCATTATAGACTAATCTGCCATTATGTTCTTTGTGAATCAATTCCTTGAAGATAGTTAAACATTCTTAGTAAAACTTTACAGTCATATTAAAATCAGCAAATCCTCATTTGACAGTCTAGAAAATAAATACCGACAGCTCTGAGTGTGTTTCCCTGTTATTTTACTGTACATGTAAGCTGTAAAATGTAAAGGAGAGAATCATGTGGACCACAGAAGTAACTGTGCATGCAGGTACATGCTCGTTCCTGGGAAAATGACTTTATGGGAGAACATGTAAAGACTTGCAGAGGTGGTAAAACGGCTCACAGCATTACAGAGAAATAGATGGCAGTAGGAGAGGTTCAGGGACTTTTTCTGCAGAAACTGAATTAACATAAAAGCCATTGTAAGGCAGGTTATTGAACAATTTCTGTGTCAACTTGTATCGTTCAGCAGCCCAATTAATCCTTCTCTGTCTAACTACATTGACTGTGATAGCTCCTGTTGGCTCATGCTGTGTCTCAATTTGCATACTTTTATACTTTTGTGTGCTTTTTTGAGGGCATAGGTGCAGCCCAATGCAAACTGTGGCAAAATGCATTATGAATACCCAGATGGTGCAAACCTACCGGTGAAAGTTGAGTGTGGAACGCTGCTTACGTCTCACACTCAACAATCGTTGCTATGTAACTGAAATATACGAGTAAACATGTGTTGGTTTGTTTTTTATACACAAACTACTATATTTGTGTCCAAAAAAGTCCATTGTTCATTTGAATGGTTCAATTGAGCAAACTGCATTTGATTTAATTAACAATACCTTTGATAGCTAGCTAACAGCAGTAATTGTCACTTCCAGAGAGCGCACAGCAGCTGAATGCGATTTGAGACTATACGCAGTTGACATTTACAGTGTGCAAGTGTTCATAATGCACGACATGAAAGGGAGTAAGTTACTGAATGGACACACGGCATGAGAAGATCTGTGAGGTGCTAACTGCAGCCTGTAGTGTAACTTAATGCTCAGCCGCTGTTACAGGTAGATTCCACAGGTACACTACATGGCTGCTGACCTCAGCAGTAACATGAGTCCAGGTCACTGCCACAGCGATGAGAATGGGAAAGATAGAAAACAAGAAAAGACAAACCGGTGAACATGACCGAGAAAGATGTGGAGAAATGTTAACATTCCCTGTGTTGTTATGTATATCAAACCGTTTGTGTGCGTGTTTGCTTTCCATGGATATTTAATGTATACTATAAATAATGAAGGCACATTGGCAGCGTACCAGCTCCACCAGAGTCAGCCTGAGATGAGTATATGAGTGCATCAAGAGGGCAGAGGGGGAGGCATCTTCCAAAACTGGACAGGCAGTTTCAGTTCAGAGCACAGCAGACACCAGAACCTGCAGCTGTTCGATTCTCACACAGTAATTGTGCCTACAGAAAAAATTATCTTAACACTTACAAAGGATTTGGCTCTAAGTGAAGCTAATGCAGTAGCACTTAATCTGGTTTGGTTTATAGATAGGAATTGACATGACTGTTTCTTCATCGTTGAATGCACTTATTGTGAGTCACTTTGAATAAAAGCATCAGCTAAATGAAATGTTATGTAATCAGTGCTTTTATTTTGTTATTATAAGTAAGAACCAGGGTTGCACAAGTCATTGAAATGTAATAGATCCTATTAAATAAATCACACCATGAACATTTCAAATATTTGGTCTTCTGGTGTCTGTTGGCAACCCCAGAGAAATGTTTTCCAAAGATCTGTTCTGAGTACATCAACAAGTGCTCGCTTTTTCAGGGACGTCTGGCCCTCCTTAAAACTCCAGTGACAAAACCAGTGAATTGGCTTACTTTTGCATCAGTGTTGACGTCATTTGCTTTAGTTACTAGTTAAGATAAATGTTCACCAAAAAAAAAAAACAGCAAAATCAAAGTGAATATGAAAACAAGTGGTGCGATTAATCCTCGGGGAACCATTTTCTTTTTTTGCTTTAGGTTTGTTTTATTGAATATACTTGAGCATATTGTAAGTACACATGTTATTGTTGTATCAATATCATTATTAATTACACTAATATGTACAGCGTCATCATGGAAAGTGTGAATATCCCTCCTTCTCCAAAGATTGCATAGAATTTGGTTGAAATGTTTTACTTAAAAAATCAGCTTCAAGTGATATTTCTGTATTTTTGGACATTTTCTCTCTGCCCCTAAACTTGACGGTTTGATCTGGCTTTGTTTGATTTTTGTGATGGTATTGTTTTGTTTTGGCCCAAAGGTCATATGGTTGGATAGGGTTCAGTTACGTTTTTTTAGTAACAGATCTGTGTGAGGGTGTGTGTGTGTTTTGTTTAGGGATTTGGCAGTTGCAATACTCCAAATGAGCAGTTGCCTTAAAGCAATATGTGCACATAGCTCTCACTATTTCCATCTCTACCTCGATCCCCTCCACCCTCACTCTGTTTATTCAATCTGCAATATCATCGGAACGAGTGGGTGGTGTACTGTATGTATGTATGTGTGCATGTGAATGTGTGTGTGTGTGGTACCATCGAAGTGAGTGGGCGGTGTAACCAAAGTGAGGATGTTGTGTGGGAGTGAAGTACCATTAAAGTGCACATGGTGTGTGTGTGTGTGTGTGTGTGTTAATTATAATCCCTCCTATCACTGCAGGTTTGAATTGAAAAGAATGAATAGCAATCTGATCTCTCATCATTTAAATAAAATGAAGAGAAAACCACTTAACAGTTGAAATATATATACATTGTTTACTAAATGCATTAGACAAAAGGGCAAGAGAAAACAAATCGGTGTATTCTTATACCTATGCCTTAAGGGGCTCTTTTATGCTAATGTTCAGGTTCACATATTATTATTAGTATACTGTGCCTTTAATGTGACATGATTACATTCTTTAATGTTCAAAAAGGAGCGGCAGTTTCCGTCTGAAACCAGAGCCCAGTCTGCTCCGATTGGTTTGCTGACCGCCTCTGTTGTGATTTGGCAAACGCTTAGAGATGTCCCGCCTCTTAGCCTATCCACTACAATGTGTTGGAGCAGAGAAGCCAATAGAATCGCAAGTGTTACACAGTGATGTCATTATGTTACGCAAGTAAACAAATGAGTTCAATGGAGGCGTTTCAGGCAGGGGGGGAAACTAGCCTTTGCGGACCATTTACATGCACAAAAACCTATACAACAAACTAGAGGAAAGGGGGAAACCCAAAGAGCATAATGGGGCCCCTTTAATATTTCAAGCTCTATATTCTGCTTCTAGAAGCTCTAGTTCCGTATATTTACTTCTCTGTTTCTCTCCCTTAGACATACACACTATGTAAATATACTCTGGGGTGCAATCATGACGATGGTGATATTTTTAGCCTCCTCTGTTAGTCCTGCCTGTCAGTGGAGCCGACATTGATCAGGGCGGAGATGACAGGCTCGCTGTGCGTCTGAGCTTCTGCATGTTTCCGCACCGCCGAGGGTTACCTGCCTCAAAGTGGATCCATGTTACGCTTCTCATCTCACTCAGATTGTGATCCTAGGGAGGAAAAAAAACCCTCCAACCTTGTATCTGTTTTTTAAAGGCATATTTTACCATTCTGCTCTGTAAACACAGGACATTCTGTTAATAAGAAGTCATGTTTGGTACATACTGTAACATTAATGAGGTTACATTTTACACTGCTTTCTAGAAATGTACATGGTGCTCTTGAAAAGAGAGGCTGACAATGAGTCAACGGTGCAGGAGCGACAATAAGAGTGTGTGGGTGTTGAGACAGAAGCACAGCATCCCTCTGTATACGTAACGGCGCTAAAGCTTTTCATAGGTTAAGTGAATTCTGCTTCTAACAGCTCAGAGACAGCCAAAAAACTCAAAATGATATCAAATTTAACCTGAACTTTACGTCTAATACAAATGTTACTTATATGATTTTGAAGCCAAGTTTACACAATCAGCAAATAAGTGAGAGAATGTATGCTGATATTATTGACGTACAGAACACAATCATACCTTAAAATTCTTCATACACTTCAACATTTTATATTATCTCTACAATGATCAGCTTTGACCATGAGGAAGTTCACCTCTTTTCTTGTGTGACTCACTCACATCAGATTACTTATTTCCTCCTGATCAATGTGAATCCTTTCAATACTTAATTGCAAATATTCCGATTGAAAAAACAAGCTGCAACCTTGCAGTGCTGCAAAATGAATCGAGCTAGCTTGGTTTGCTTATTAGTAAAGTACTTTTTTTAGATGATGAATTTCCAACTTGGTTGTCTATCAAACTGAAGGTCGGTGATTCGATCCTTGAACAAAGTGCGCTTGGGCAAGAAACTGAACCTCAAATTGCAAACTGTGTGTACATGTGTGTGAATGTTAGACTCCCTGGGCAAGTGGCACCTTTTATGGCGGTCTCTGCCTTGTTTGATTGTGTGTGTGTGAGTGAGCGAATGCTGACTTGTATATGTAAAAGCACTTTTGGGGGTTGCGAAGACTGAAAAAAGCATTGAATTGACCATTCTTTCCCTCTCTTTCTCTCCGCAGTGTGTTGTTTCGTGGTTCACAAGCGCTGCCATGAGTTCGTCACTTTCCAGTGTCCAGGTGCCGATAAAGGCCCTGCATCAGACGTGAGTAGAAATAAATGAATCATCTAAAATTGTCTGCTTGCGTATCAGTGTGAGTATCGAAAGGCAGATGGTACAACAGACTGCACACACACGCATGCACGCACACACTCTCTAACACACTTCAAGCTCATGAGCTTCCATCACCTGTCAGCACCACTGTTACGGTTGAGCAGCCTCCATCTTTTTCTCTCTTCTCGTTTTCATCTTCCTGTCTTGACAGTTTCACTGTACCGTCACACACAGGGGAGTTTATCTAGTGTTTATATTTCATTGACTCAATACTGTGTATTTAAATATAGACCTGTAAGAAAAGCTGCCCAATAAAACCATATTTGGCCACTTGAGCAGCTCCTCTGGCATTATGGGAAATTATAATTATGATACCTTCAGATGTTGGATCGGCTTCATTTGTAAATAGGATGTCAAATATGTTGATGTGTAGTTGAAGGGTACATTTTCAAAGGGGCCCATTATGCTTTTTGGGGTTTTTACTTTCCTGTAGTGTGGGTTTTAGTGCATGTAAATGGTCTGCAAAGGCTAAAATAAAAGTTTTTCTCCCAAACTAAGCACAGTTGAGCCACAAAAATACAAACAAAAACCTGAGAATAACCGTCTATTAAACCACCATTGAAAGTAGCACCCTTCGCTTTCTAGCCACTGTCTTAAATGAATCTTAGTGAACTTGTTTGCCCTGCCCTTCTTCCTTCCTCTTATCTCTTCTTAAGTATTTAAACAGATCCACTTTCTAAAAATAACAACATCATATATATCTTTACTCTGTGGTTACATGAGTGTTTCACATTAGCCATATCAAAGCTTGAATCACTGTCGGAGGTTAAACGTCTTGCTTGTCCTTATGTAATCAATTATCTTTAAGCATTTCTCTCATCTCCTCCTCAGGAAGTGTCTTTAAGTGGTACTTTTATCTTAATCTCATCCTCTCTCTCAAGGATCTGAGAACAAGTGTCTTTTGATATTTAAATGCAAGCCGTCTCTCACCTATCATATTAAAAGGACACATTTAGTTGCCTTCCGTCTCTTAAGAGCACTCTGTGGACCCCAACTTCACCCTCTTAAAATCCCAAGGGGGGGGGGGGGGGGGGGGTGAGTACCTCAGCCGTGTCCTTACCTCCCTCAAGAGTGCCCTTTCAGTTTGACAAGTACACTTATGGCGCATTTCCACTACACGGTCGGCCTCGGCCACACTCGGTACGGCTCGGTACGGCTTGGCCGCGTTGGGCCTTAACAGGGCCGACTCACTTCATGCTGCGCTTCCATTACAGTTTAGGAACTGGGGTAGTTACTATAGTAACGCAGTGTAGGCGGAGCCGTGACGTCATCTTCAATGAGAAATCCAGAAACACAACACAGCCGTTAGCTGTGAGCACTCAGAGCTCACAGCTCCTTATATATGTTCAGAAACTCGACAAAAGTTAAACAAGTACACACCACAGACTGCCTGTGTCATGGTGAATACAGTCGCTGCTGTATTTATGTCTGTATAGGCCGTTGTTGTGAGTGTGGACGGTCGGGGCATATACTGCGTTAGCTTAGCCAATCTCCATCTAGAAAAACACGAATTTTAAAAGGTTTTTCGCCTGCCGTCTGTCTGCAGACTTGACAAAGCATTAATTCATGGTTTTTACTAACCGGTATCAGTATGTTGTTACTTCGGCATCATTTTGAAACGTTTATTACAATTAAATCACGGTCAAATATGTCCATCTTGTTGTAGTTCTAGCCCTCTTGCCAGCGCTCCTCTCTCTAGTTTAGCATACTCAGCCCGACTCAGCCCTGTTTGTTGGCCCCGATAGAACCACAATTTTCTAGGGCCAGAAAAGAGGGGAAAAAGTGGCCCCGCGCCGTGCCGCGCCGGAACGAGGCCTAGTGGAAGCACAACCAAAAAAGGGGACGGCACGACACGGCACGCTTAAAGCGAGCTACGCGCTGCAATGGAAATGCGCCATTAGTGTGCTGCCTCCAGAGGAAACGCTGCTGTGGGCTTCCTGTGGTGTGTTGTGTATAGTCTCAACAATCTTTCCTGTAGACTTATTATATGTCTCGCATGTCTGACATCTACCTCACTTGTTTTTCTGTCCTCGTCTCAATCTCTGACTCAGTGATAACCTATTTTTCTTTTATAGTTTCTGTTTTAGTCAGGGCTATAGACTCTAAATCTTCTCTAAAAATGTTCTACCAATATCTGCAGGTTCATAGAAAGACCTTACAATGCATGGTTTTTAGTTTGTATTGAAATATATAGTTTAGGTTGCCCTTGTAGAGAAATAAAACAGCTTTGGTTCAGGCAAAGCAATAATGTCGGGCTTGTACTAGGGCTGCTTAATTAATCGTATTTTAATCGCAATTACGATTTATGGCTTGCAACGATTATGAAAACAACGTAATCGAAATAAAACGATTATTTTTTTATTATTACTTTTTCTTTTTTTTTTCAAATAATTTTTTTTTTAATTGGTTTTTCAGTTGAATTATACTTAAAGTTCAGGGTAATCAACTGTTCAAAACATACTGTTCACATTTTTTTTCTCCAATAAATGGATGTTTTCAAAGTAAATCGTTTTTAATAATCATGATATCAATTATTGACCCAAATAATTGAGATTATGATTTTTGCCATAATCGAGCAGCCCTAGCTTGTACTAGCTGCTGTGTCATCAGCTGTTTCATCAGCTGTTTCACCCTAGCAATGTTTCCATGAAATGCTTAAGCAAATTCAAAGCAAACTTGTGTAATGTCGCAAAGAATATACAAGTTAGTGTTTGAGGCAAATACAATAGGCTTCAGGGAAGTACAGTGTGAAGTTGGGGGTAAAGGCTGTATTTCACAAGTAATGAGAATAAGATAAGGAGATGTTGTGTAAGGGAAACAAAACAAATTGGGTTGGTGATTGAGAGAGAATTGAAGAGGATGTTTAGGAGTTTGTTTTAATTAGTCCTTATTCATATCAGCCATGTTTCCTGCTGCCCAGAGTTAAACAATGTTTTCGAGCAGTAAGGAAATAAATCTAAGAACTCGCCAGAAGCAAAAAACATCTGATCTCTTTTTAGATCTGGTTTTCCGTAAGGATGGAATTTTCATTTCAATTTCTGTGTTTACATACAGCTATAATTCAATATGTGCTAAAAAAGAAATATGTTAATAGACACACAGCTAATGACCGACTCATCTACAGCTTATTAGCAAAAAACTATCGTATTCATATAGGGGCTTTAGGCTTGTTCAGCGATTCAGCATTTAGTCTTCCCAGCAGTTTTGTCCTTGCTGCTACTTTAAGAGACCCTTCAAAGCTTCTTCCTACCACATCTATCTCCAACCATTTTATATAAATGGCCAATTCCTTTCCATAGGTTCCCCTCGGTGATCCAAAGTTATGTTTAGATTCGCTGTTAAACCTAAATGCACCTGTCTTATTTCCCACATGATTATACACTTGCCTTGACCCACTCTGATCTGACATTTCAATTAGCCCACAGAGTCTTCCATCTTTGCCCTCCCAGGGACTCGGAGATAAACCCTTCATGATGATTCACATACAAATAATGTTCAATTGTAAAGCTGTAGGAGGCTCACACATCTTACCTTGCAATCATTTTGATAACGCAAGTCCCTTCTTCCCCTTCTTTAAAAAGTCTTTACATAATTTGACTTGAACAGAAAACCCCTTCAGGTGTGATTCCACATCTTTACAGTACTGTATACCTTCTTCCTTTCTCCTTTGAATGCCCACTCCTTTTTTTCCGGCACTATATTTATCGTACTATATTCAGCATACATTTACCTCCCCTCTCCCTGAAGCCTTCCCTCATTGTCTCTCGCGCCTCTACTCTGTACATCCTCTATTTAAATGCCACTCCACCCAGGGGGCCCCCGCTCTTAATTACGGGGCCTCACCACCCCCACCATGTTATTTCCTTAATGAGTTCATGGTTTTTTGACCTGGGTCCCTGCACAGTGGGAATGTGAGGTATCTCCATAGCTGCATATTTCAATGTAGGAGACGGGAATATCGGTAGCCTGTCTCACGATGCACAGCTTCCACGGTTTGCTCTGGTCATGTATTTTTAATAAAGTACTGTACCAGTTCAACACCGAATATTTGAGATTAGATCAATTCTCCGAAGAGGTCAGGGGATATCACAAATATTTGCCTCATTGCAATGTTCTGAAACAAGTAATACAATATGAGATCATAACAGCTCTCTGAATTGGTCAACATTATGAATCACCTGCTGAGGATTATCTAATAATGCTGTCAGATCTGTACACCGTGTTTTCTCCCACGCACACCTGCACAGAGGCTTTTTGAAACTCGGAGAACAAAACATTCTCAGCAGGTACATTTGAATCCATTTTCAGCCTGCAAATGCATCATATTTCCTTTTTTCAAATCAGTTTATTGCAACAATGAATGGTTAATCAGAGTCTTTTGTTCAAGTTTGAGCGATGCTATTCTGCCAAAGTAACACAAAGTTGTGTTTTTCTGTCTGAGGTGGGATCTTTTTTACTATTATAAACAATTTTCTCTTGGTATACATATTTATGTATCTCTAAGAGAAGACAACTATGAGTATCCCTGCGATCCCTGAGGAAGATTCTTATTTTGTAGAACATTTGAATACATTAACGTGTCCCCAACGGATGTCCCAGGACTAATTATCTGCCAATTATGTCAGTTTGAAGTCTCAATGATCAACAACTCAAATAATAATTGACTCAATTAAGTGACAAGGAAAGTTGGAAACAAGCTTGAAAAAAGGAGATGAAATGAGAAACATGTTGCTTTTCATTTTCTCATATTAAGTCACTATTTTTCTGAATGATCAGGAAGGATACTATTTACCAAAAAAGCGATTAAATGAGATAAGCAGTGGTAGTAGGATTCATCTGCATCAAAAATAAAACAACACTTCTGGTATTTGCTACTATGAGACCTTGAATCAGATAACCGTGTGTATGGGTCATGTATATGAAAAACAGCA